AATATTTAGTATCTTGGGATTTACAGCCCAATTTTCTGACTGAACAGGTTCAGATAATTTCTAAAAAAGCTTATGATAAGCAACTTCCAAGTTGTGCCAAAATCTGTGACTCTAAATGTCCTTCCAAACCACAATGAATTGATCTTCTAAATGCTCCTTAATTTTTGGTTAACCAGCATTTCATTATCACCATGTAGATGGCTAATACTGTCCAGCAACCCTCTTTTTTTTTTTTAAGATGTACTGAGTTATTTATTTGAGAGGTAAAGTTACAGAGAGAGAGAGAGAGGGAGACACAGAGAAAAATGTCTTCCATCTGCTGGTTCGCTCCCCAAATGGCTGCAATAGCTGGAACTGGGTCCATCTGAAGCTAGGAGCCAGGAGCTTATTCCTGGTCTCCCATGCAGGTGCAGGGGCCCAAGCATTTATGCCATCTTCCGTTGCTTTCCCAGGCCATAGCAGAGAGCTGGATTGGAAGAGGAGCAGCCGAGACTCAGATACAAAAATATGAATGTATGTAATGGGAATAACAGAAGAAAGGGAGAAGGAAGAAAAGAAATATGTGAAGCAATAATGAATGAGGATTTTTCTCAAATTAGTAGCAGACTTCAAACTAAAGATCCATGAAATCCACAGAACATCGAACAGGATAAATAAAACATGAAAGCAAACATACATGTGTACATGCACACACCCACTAGGCAAATCATATCAAACCCCCAAAAATCACATATACAAAGAAAATCTTTAAATAAATCAGGAAGAAAGAATACCTTACTACAGAGAGGCAAAAGTTACAATTTTATTGTAATTTCTCATCAGAAACCACACATGCTAGAGGAGTAGAATGAAATACTTACTGGTGACTATAAAAAACAACAACAAAAAATATCACAATTCTATAGTCTGCAAAGTTATCCTTCAGAAGGGAAGGAGAAATACTTATCAGGCAAACAAAAAGGACAGCATTTATTACCAATAGACCTGACTTAGAGATTATGTAACAAAACTCCAAATAATATATGGGTAAAAGAAAAAGTCTTAAAAGAAATTAAATGTTATTTGGAAGTAAATGAAAATAAAAGCACAACTTACCAAAATTTTTGGGATTCATAGAAAGTAGAGCTAAGAGGGAAATTTATAGCATGAAAGGCATATATTTAAATAAAGAAGAAAGATATAATGCCAATAATTTAGGCTTCCACCTGAGAAAACTAGAAAACTGAGAACAAATTAAATCTAAGCTAAGCAGAAAAAAATGAGTATAAATCAGTGAATTGAAAACAAAAACCAGCAGAAAAAATTAGCCCAACTAAAAGATGGCTCCTGGAAGAGATCCATTAATTGGTAAACGTTTAGTCAGCCTAAAAAGAGAAAAAAAACCTGAATTAATAGTATCAGAAATAAAAGAAAAGATGGCAATACAGATCTCATGATAATTAAAATGAGCTCAAAGGACTATTATGAACACATCTATGGCTGAAAATGTGATAAACTACTTTAAATAGGGCAATTCTTTAAAAAACATAATCTGCTTAATTTCATACAAAAAAAAGTTTGACAATTTACTTAAGCCTGTATCTATTACAAAAATTGAATCAACCATTAATAACTTTATAGATAGCACCACACCTAGATGGGTTCCCTAGTGAATTCTGAAAAATATTTAAGGAAGAGATTATATAAGTTTTCTGCAATATTTTTAGAAGATAGAAACAAAAAAATGCTTCCTAGTTAATTATTGAGATTAGCATCACACTAATACCAAAAGCTTAAAAATCTGTTACAAAAATGGAAAAGTAAAGAGCAGTATTTCTCATGAGCATAAATGTAAGAATCCTCAATAAAATATCAAAACATTGAGTCCAACGATGTAAAAAAAAGAATTACGCATCATGACCAGGTGATATTTATCTCAGTTATACATGACTAGTTGAGCATTCAAAAATCAACCATTGCAATTCATCACATCAATTGACTAAAGAAGACAAATCAGTAAATACAGAAAAATCATTTGATCGAATCCAACATCCAGTCATGGTAAAAACTCTCAGAAAACCAGAAAAAGAAGATAACTTGTACAACTTAATAATGAACATCTAATAAACCCCACAGCTAAGACCATAATTTATGGTGACAAACTTGAAAAGTATACTTGTGATCTGGATTAAGACAAAAATGTCTTCTCTTAGCACTGCTTTTCAACATTGTAGTGGAAAGCCCTAGCCAATGCAGTAAGACAAGCCATGAGAACACATGGAGGCAACTTAAATGCACCTTGTTCAGTGAAAGTCAATATGATAAAGCCACACACTCTATGATTCTGACCATGTTGTAGACATGGAAAAACTAAAAATACAATACAAAGATATACATTTTCCAGGGTTTGCTGACAGAAGAGGATGAAAAAGCAAAGCACAGATGACCTTTGTCATATTTTTTATGGACTATATTTTAGGATACATGTTATATATCCATCAAAACCCAAAGAAGGTACACTCACAAGAATGAATCCTAATATAAACTACAGAAATTGGATAGGAATGATATGTCTGTGTGGGAAATAAATGTATCATTGTGGTGCAGGATTTTGACAGTGTGGGAGACTATACATGAGTAGGGGCAAAGGATATTTGAGAAATCCCTGAACTTTCTTTTCAATGTTGTTTCAAATTGAAAATCATACTAAAATGAATGTCTTAAAAATGAGTTTCAAAGTATATCATGGAATGAATAGACATCAAATCTGTCTGTAACATTTGTAGCACTTACTTGGTTGTACAATGTTAAATAATAAAGGTGAAGACTGAATCTTATGATATCCAACACTGTATATTTTGCAAGAAAGGAAAGCAGTTGATATTCATTAATTCATTTTTTAAACTTTTATTTAGTAAATATAAATTTCCAAAGTATGGTTTATGGATTACAATGGCTTCCCCCCACCATAACTTCCCTCCCACTCGCACCCCTCACATCTCCAGATCCCTCTCCCATTCCATTCAAATCAAGCTTCATTTTCAATTATCTTTACACACAGAAGATCGATTTAGTATAAATTAAGTAAAGATTTCATCAGTTTGCACCCACACAGAAACACAAAGTGTAAAATACTGTTTGTGTACTAGTTAGAGCAATACTTCACATTGGACAGCACATTAAGGACAGATCCCACATGGGAAGTAAGTACACAGTGACTCCTGTTGTTGACTTAACAAATTGACACTCATTTATGGCGTCAATAATCTCCCTAGGCTCTAGTCATGAGTTGCCAAGGCTATGGAAGCCTTTTGAGTTCGCCGACTTCGATCTTATTCCTACAGGGTCATAGTCAAAGTGGAAGTTCTCTCCTCGCTTCAGAGAAAGGTACCTCCTTCTTTGATGACCTGTTCTTTCCACTGGGATCTCACTCGCAGAGATCTTTCATTTAGTTTTTTTTTTTTTTTTTTTTCCCAGAGTGTGTTGACTTTCCATGCCTAAAATACTCTCATGGGCTCTTCAGCCATATCCGAATGCCTTAAGGGCTGATTCTGAGGCCAGAGTGCTATTTAGGACTTCTGCCATTCTATGAGTCTGCTGTGTATCCAGATTCCCATGTTGGATCATTCTCTCCCTTTTTTATTCTATCATTTAGTATTAGCAGACACTAGTGTTGTTTGTGTTTGTGTGATCCCTTTGACTCTTAGACCTATCATTATGATCAATTGTGAACTGAAATTGATCACTTGGACTAGTGAGATGGCATTGGTACATGCCACCTTGATGGGATTGTATTGGAATCCCCATTAATTCATGCTAAGTGTATCAACTTATATACAATTTTAAAAGGAAATTCCTTTCCCCTGAGTTTGTTTATTTTTATTTACTTAAAGTCTCATAGAGTAAGAGAGATGAAAGTGAGAAAGAGAAATAGAGAGAGAAATGGATCTTCCATCTACTGGTTCATTCCTTGTGTGCCTGAAACAGCTGGGGCAGGTCAGGCTGAAACCAAGAACCTGAACCTCAATCCAGTTCTTCCACACGCAGGGCAGGGACCTAACTGACTGAGCCATAACTTTCTGCCTCCCAGGTTATGCATTAGCAGGAAGCTGATCCGATGCAGATGTTGGATTTGAACCCAGGCACTCTGGTAGGTAGTGCAGACACTCCCAGCGGCAGTTTAAGCACTGTGCTGCAATATCTGCCTCTATGCAAATATTTTAAAATAATTATTTCCTGGGTGGTAGGTAAATTTGTACATGAACATGTCTTAGTTCTCAAAAAAAAAAAAAAAAACCACAATACAAAAATCCAAAGTAACTTCCTTTTTAAATGTTCAACTATTAAAGGTAAGTGACTATACTACTTACAATGGGAATTTCAGAGTTGAATTTTCTGAAACCATAGTTGTTCACAATTGATCATAATAATAGGACTAAGAACCAAAGGGATCACATAAACAAGAATAGTGTCTGCAAATACTAGCTGATAGAATAAAAAAGGGAGAGAATGATCCAACATGGGAAGTGAGATACACAGCAGACCCATAGAATGGCAGATGTCCTAAACAGCACTCTGGCCTCATAATCAGCCCTTAAGGCATACGGATCCGGCTGAAAAGCCCATGAGAGTATTTCAGGCATGGAAAGTCAACACACTCTGGAGAAAAAAAAAAAAAAAACTAAATGAAAGATCTCTGCGAGTGAGATCCCAGTGGAAAGAACGGGTCATCAAAGAAAGAGGTACCTTTCTCTGAAGGGAGGAGAGAACTTCCACTTTGACCATGGCCTTGTCTAAATATGATCAGAGTCAGTGAACTCAGGGGGCTTCCATAGCCTTGGCAGCTCATGGCAAGAGCCTAGGGTGATTACTGATGCCATAAACAAGAGTGTCAATTTGTTAAGTCAACAACAGGAGTCACTGTGCACTTACTCCTCATGTAGGATCTCTGTCCTAAGTGTGCTGTACATTGAGATTTAATGGTATAACTAGTACTCAAACAGTATTTTTCACTTTATGTTTCTGTGTGGGAGCAAACTGTTGAAATCTTTACTTAATGTATGCTAAACTGATCTTCTGTATATAAAAAGAAACGAAAATGAATCTTGATGTGAATGGAAGGGGAGAGGGAGTGGGAAAGGGGAGGGTTGCGGGTTGGAGGGACGTTATGGGGGGGAAGCCATTGTAATCCATAAGCTGTACTTTGGAAACTTATACTCATTAAATAAAACTTTTTAAAAAAAAGAACCAAGAATAATTTCCATCTAGTCATCTGCAGAGAAATGCTATTTAATATCTCCAACCTTCAGGTGACTCAGAGTTCTTAACCATTAAATTTCTCTATTAATATGTGGGAAATTATTTCAAGGTGTTGTTTTGGCACTGGGAAATTAATCTGCCTACTCAATTCATACTATTCGTGTATGTGAATGTACATGTGTGTGTATGCACAATGCATACACACATTTGTTTCTAGTGTTCTGTAAGTTACTGAGTACTTTAGAATAATACAAAAGAATTAATATGCTTGTGTCAAAATTCTGCTCTTCATGACTTTGGAAATGTTATATAATATCTTTAAGCCTCAGTTTTCCTATTCATAATAAGTTTTCATATATCATAGTCTATTTTAGCATTTTAAAAATGATAATACACTTTTAATTCTTGGTACCCTGAGTATTATTATTTCCCAGTTTGTACTCAGTAAATAAATAATGATTACATTATTATTAACCAAGATTATCTAATATAAGCATCACAAATATTTGAAAGACCAATTTTTTCCTCAGGTGATCCTCTCTGCTATACTTTATGTCTCTAGCCTTCTCATTAGGATACACCATGCTCCCTTTGGACTTGTCATCATGTCAAACAAATTATCCTTTCCTGTTACCTGGGAGCCACTTTTTGCCATTGATTCTTAACTCACCCCAGTTTGGTTCCTTTTCCCACTACGTTCAAGTTGATAACATTAAGGTTGCCAATGACCTTTCAACTGACAAACTATGTTTTTAAAAACTCAAGTTAGTTAATTTCTCTATTATCCTCATAGGCTTCAGTGAGTTAACTCTGATGCTTCTCTTTATGATTTATTATTGCAGTCCAGGATCTTGATTCTCTCATGTTCTACATATTTTTCTTAGTTGTTAAATTCATGAAACTAGTTTGCTTTCTATATTCTCACTTAGACTAAGACCCAGTTCTAAAAATTAACTGAGCATTGCCATCTCCAATTCTGTACTTCCTCACTCAGTTGGAAACTTTGTCATCATCCTTGGAAACATCCTAAATACCTCTCAGGTTTTAGATGCCCTTCTTCAACCCCTCCAAAGTGGTCTTGATTTAGTTCCTTGCATTTTTCTGGTGATTATTGTTACACTCCAATGTCAGAGTTCTGAATGTTTCTAGTTAACTATGGCCAAATTCACACTTTTGTTAAAACAAATCACTCAACATTCAGTTGCTTAAAACAGAAATAATTTATTCTCATGAATTAGTGGGTCAACTGTCTATGCTGAACTTTGCTTGTGATTGATTCACTTATCTGGGCTGGTTATGTGTTCATCTGGTGGTTGACTGATGCAGGCTGAATTGGTTGATGTAGGCTATGTTAAGTTGGAAAATATGGCTCTGCTCCACATGTCTGTCTTTATCCTGCTAGGACAAGTGTTTAGCCCAAGTATGCAGTGGTAAAACCACATTAGCAGAAGCAGTAACTCTAAAAGCCTCTGAATCTTGGTGCACTTGTACAACATTCTTTTACTTTATATTATTGCAAAAGCAAGTCATACTGACTTGTGATCAAAATCAAGGAATAAAAATGTTCTTCCTCTTTTTTCATGTGACAAAACACATAGATACAGCGATGAATAAAGGATTAGGACCAGTGATGTAAACTACAATACTGAATCTAATTTCTTACCATTCTAATCTGTTTTCCTGATTACTTCTAACTGTTAGAATGGTTAACTTGATCATGTTAATTTCTGAACTAAAAATCTGTTTGTTGCTTTTTGGTAAAAAATACACACTTATCACTTGTGTTATCAGATCCTTTATGTGACTAACCTATTTTGCAAGCTACAGTGTTTGCCTGTTGCTTTATCTGCCCAGCAATTCCATTTTACTTCATGACATCATTTCACCATCCCATTGCATCTTTGTGAGGCAGACATGGGTACAGGGTACAGAGTAAACCAACCATACTACTCTATTTCCTTATAACAGGATTTATTCCACTGGATGGAAAATATTAGAGTACAGAAAAAACAAATTTGTCTTTTTGGTGAAGTTATTGGCAGTCATTTCACTTGCCTCATGAAGACCTCCTGTGAGCAAAATAAGGGAAACAAACAGAGGAGACAAGAATTGAGAAATGGAAAACAGGAGAGCAAGTTACAAAAGCATCTTCTTTCTTTTGAAAAGAAAAGCCATGTTTACATCCCTTCTTTTCCTTCTTCTTCTTGTTCTTCTCTTTTTAAATTCGACTCATTTGAATTTCGTCTCCTTTTTGTGTGATCAGAAGTTCTTGGCGCAGGTGCATATATTTATGTGTACCACTCACACTCTCCCTATCAGGTCATGAAGCAATACCCTCTTGTGTTTTATGAATGCAATTTTTCCACCTCCCATTGACACTGATTTCATTAAAGTTATTATTCTAGAAAAGTTCTAGTCATTCTTAAAATGCAAGTTCAAAGTCAAATGCCATTTTCCTGTAAAGGCTTTCCTAACCTTTGAGACAAAATTAATCTATGTTTTATGCATAATTAAAAGTGGTGAATGGTAAGTAAAAAAAAAAAAAAAAAGAGAGACCAAAACTCCTCTTCCACGTTTTATAGCATGATATTAGAAATACTTCTCCAACCTATCAGTAACAGCAGTCAGCTCTGCCTTCAAAATCTATCCAGGATCAGCTAACTTCTTAGCATTGCCTTAGCAATACCATCGACTCATTCATGGACTGTTACAACAGCGTGTTACTGTTCTCTATGATTCTGTCATTCTCTCCCTGCCTTATGCCCTCAACATACTGTGTCCCTGTGATATCAAGGGAGACCATGTTATTGAGGTCCTGAACAATCCTGCCCCTCCTTCATTTCTCTGGTCCCATCTCCTGCTGCTCTTCCTCTTGCACGGTTGCTTTAGGTAAGGGACCTTCTTGCTGCTTCTCACTTGCATCCCTTATACTTCAGCCACAGGGTCTTTGTAGTTGCTATTCTTTCCTGGAATTCTACAAAGATCTGCTTGAGTTTTCTCTTACCTTCTTTAGGTCTTTCTTGGAATATCATCTCAGGCCTCTTAAGGCTACATATTTAAAAGTCGAGCCTGCATTCTCTTTCTGTAGGTTATATTAGCCACAGAACTTGTGTAATATACTACTTATCTCGATTATATCTTTTGCTGCATGTATGCTAATACTTACTAGGATATAAGTTCTATGCAGTCAGTTTTCTGTAGTGTTTGGGGGACCTGTTTTGTTCTGTGTCTGTTCTCATTGTCTAGAATGGTGCCTGAGATGTAAAAGGGCAAGAATAAACATGTATAAAATAAACAAGTGGAGCAATATATTTATTCAAGTGCATCCCCTATGGCTTTATGACATGGAGTTCAGGGGATATGTGGCATTAGTTGCTCCCATGGAACACCAGGGCACATAAAAGATATGCAAAGAATGAGGTTTTTACTTGCTTGTTTGTGGGTTTTTTGTTTGGTTTCTTTATTGCTATTTATTGTCATTATTATTTTTGTTGTATACCACCAGTGAGAGTTAAAGCTGTGTATGGAACTTGCATCTTTAAAAACCAAGTCTCTCCATGGCAGCCTCCTTGATATGACAATGAATCTTAGCCTCAGAGGAATCTGGCTGAAGGGCCTTGAGTATTCTCCTTTGACTTTTATAAAAATGCTATCTCATTCATACTGATTTCCTGACTCTATCAAAAATGCATTTGATGCTTGATTCATATGGAAGAACTGTGTGATCTGGTAGTAAAATAATACAATGCATGTAGTGAAATTCAAGCAAAATACAGAGTATGTGCTTGATATATAGCCCAGCTCTTTGCCACTTTAATGATGATGTGTATCCTCTTCAGGAGGTGGAAAATGCATTGTCGGCTGACCTTGCCCCAGTCTAAAGATTGGGTAAAAAGTGTGCTAATGTCCTGTTCCAGTCATTTTCCTGACTTCCCTGTCCCATCCCCCAGGATTGTTTTCAATCGCTGATGGTTATATTTGCTAGGAAAATATTTTTCACAGAACAATTATCCTCACGAACTAAAATCAAGATATGAAGAAGTGTGAGCGTACACACACACAGGCATTTGAGCAGAGAAAGTGTAACTTCCCTGAGTGGACTTTTTCCGCTGTTGTTTTATTGGAAGCTTGGTTTAATATTTCTTTTTTATATTCTAATATCACTGAGAAAAACCACCACGGCTTACAGCACAGTTTATTTTTCTTTTGTTTATTGCAGAGGCAGAGACATAGAGACAGATGGAATAACATAGAAAGAGAGGGAGAGGAGCAGAGAGAGAGAGAGAGAGAGAATCTCCCATATGCTGGTTCACTCCCCAATGCCTGCAATACCTGGGGCTGGGCTAGACTGAAGTCTAAGCCTGAAACTCAATCTGAGTTTCCTACATAGGAGGCGGAGACCCAGCCACTTAAAACATCAGTGCTGCCTCCAAAGGTAAACACTACTGGGAAGCTGGAATGGGGAGCAGAGATTCAAACGCAGGCACTCTGCGATGAGATGCAGGCATCCCAAGTGCCTTCTTAATCACTGTCTAACCAAAAGCCCCTGGGACAGGTTTTTATAGTTTGGTTTATCAATCATTTGTCTTCAGTATTAACCAGATAAACAGTGTTATAAAACTTTAAGTTCCATCGATGAATGCTCTTAAGTGTATCCTTATATTTTGTGAAATCTTTGGCAGGATATTCTTACTTTTTTCCTGCAAGGAAAAATAGTCTGGGAACAAAGAAATTTATTTTTCCCTTAAGAATATGAAGAGAGTAATAATAAAGAAGAGTTTCCAAGATCATTCAAAATTTTTTTTCAAGACTCAGGCTTTTGTAGGGAGACAAAAATTACTACTTCTAAAATAACTTCCATTACTTCTGCTATGTTCATTACCATTTTTTTTAAAAATATTAATTTTAAAGGCAAAGTAACAGGAGAGAGAGAAAGAAGAGATAAAGAGAGAGAGAGATGGTTTACTTGCTGGATCACTTCTCAAAGGGCTGCAACAGTTAGGCCTGGGCCAGGCTGAAGCCGGGAACCAGGAACTCCATCCTGGTCTTCCACATGGGAGACAGGGGTCCAAGTATTGGGGCATCATCTTCTGCCTTCCTATGTGCATTAGCAGAGAGCTGGATTGGATGCACAGTATTTGGGATTCCAGCTGACACTGATACAGAATGCTGGTTGAGCAAGTGGTGGCATGCCTTGCTGGACCCAGTCATCACCACTGAGCTGTCTTACCTGTATATCTTGCTTAACCTTCTGCTATAAGCTGCATGGTAGTTTTTTATCCTATATTATGGCTAAGAAATTGAGACTCAGAACCATTAAGTTATATTAATATATAAAGATTAGAGGTGGGATAATGAGAATATTCATGATTTTAAATCATAATGATAAATAATGGCAATTCATTGAACTTTTTGATGATAAAATAAACAACAAAGATGTATTTTAAAATCCAGTCTCTATTATAGAATATAAGTATGAACTCTTAGCTTTATAAGTTAGTAAAAATCATTTTTTCAGGAAAAACTAATTATATATTGCTTCAAGATAGGAAATGTTTTGTGAGTTGGTTTTGAAGATGATTAAATGAGGAAAAAGTAAAAATATGTAGCACATTTTTCATGGCAGCTGTATATCTTATTACATATCTAAAACCTTACAATTGCCCTTTAAAGTCAGCATTTTATTCTAGTTTTGTAGATGAAGAAACCGATTTGCCTAAGGTCTCCAAGCCAGACAGCTGCAGGACTTGGATATCGTACCAAGAGCTCATTGACTTTGGTCTTCCCAATTCCTTTGGTCTATGATGCCAAATGTTGAGACCTCGGTGTGCTACAGGAGGAGTTTTAGGGGATAAAATAAAATAGGTCACCCTAGGGCACAGTTCATATAGGTCCTCATGGGCCATTAAAAGTTTGACATTTCTTTGATTGAAATGAAAGGCACTAGAGGGTTTTGAGTTGACACACAAAATGAAAACAGGCACACAATTCTCCATTTCATTCACATTATTGCAAATGGAATAACATATCAAACTGATCAGTCTGTTATTTATATTTGCACCAAGAACATAGTCTAACATTTCCTTGCACTTCCCTTTAGAGTTCTAGAAAATCCAACATTCAGGGACAGTACAATTTACCTTAAGTATTATTATATTCCTTTTAGTATAGACTATAAGCACATGACATTGTGCCCATAGAATGGAATTTCAGCTTTGTAAAAATAATATATATGAAAAAGTTCAAAATAAATTTACCAAATTAAAAAAAAAGAATAGACTCTTGGAAAATAAGGTTTAACATATGAGGCCAAGCAGGGACAATTCATTCACATACTATCATTTAAAACATACATCGAAGATAGACTCAACCAGATTTGCTAAAAGATTGGGTGAATATTTGCGATACCATGATATGCAAAATGTTATGTATCTTCTTCGCCTTGTACTCTACTCAACACAAACACAGTTTTGCTTCTGTCATGGCTAATTTGTATTTTAGAACAATGGGGAGGAAATATTTGAAGAAAGTATAATTAAAAGCAGAGACAAGACCTGAATTTTGTGGCAAAAACTAGTGATCACAGTAGTTTGAACTATGAGAGTTGTAATGGAGCTGGAGAAAAATCTGTAGTTTAGGATAAAAACTACTGACTAGTGGGTAATACAGGATGAAAGAGAAGAATGATCCATAATTTTCTGACATAAGCAACACTTTGGGTGATGACACCATTCTAAGGAAACACGGGAGAAAGAAAATATATAGAATGCGTGAGATGGGGGAAGATGATATGAATTCAGCTTTGAACATGTTGAATTCAGAGTGCTTATGAATGATCCAAGTGCTTTTTAGGAAAGAGTGGATTATATAAGCCTGGGCTCAGAGGAAAGATCATGATTTGGGCTATTGAGCCAGGATCATCAGTAGATAAATAATTAATATCATAAAATTGGTTGAGATAATTAAAGCAAGCAGCTTAGAATGGGAACAGCAAGAGACTGAGAGCTGAATTGAGAGGAGTTCCTCCATTTGAAGAGCAGGCTGAAGATATGGAACTCAAGAAGTCAAGTATAACACTGGCTATAAAGGATTAGGGCAAAGTGATAAAGGCGGACAGGGGGAAAGCCAAAAGAATGAGAGTATGATCAACGGTATCAACCGTTGGCAGCAATCACAGTAAAAGAGGGTTGAAAGTAATTCAGTTACTTAGAAGCATGGAACTGGCTGTGATCTTGCTAATTCTCATGGTGAGGAGGGAGAGTATTACTATAGTTTACCTGTCAGCCTATTCAGCTGACACTAGGAGCTTCTGTAGCTTGCTGCTGAGTCGTTGAGTTTTTGTTTCCACCCCCTCCTTTCAGCTCAGAGCCTGTTAGACTACAGAGTTGTGAGATTTGCCTGTCCATTTGAATCAGTGATTTAAATTGCAACAATAAATCATTGGCTAAATGTGGTATGTGCTATGCCCCTTATAACTCTTAAAAATATTAGCCTCAATTAATTTTCTCTGAGAAACTTGATAAAACTTGAATATATAGTGTCTTGAATTGCATTTGTCATTTCCTGCTTAATCATAGATGTCTCATCTTATTTTTAGTGTCACTAAGAATTACTATTTTTGGTTGTTAATCACTAGAGAATCACAGAGTGCCAGTTATTTGTGACTTGAGCAACCTATTTGGATGATTATACAGCTTACATCCAAGGAATGCCACATTCCACAGTGTGCTATGTTGGATGACAATATCATTTTACACTGAATTCTGAGTTCTCTACACTCCACCAGTAATAGATCTGGATGTGAATACCCTAATTTTTGAGCTACACAACTCCTTTGTTTTCTTGCAATAGATGTATTAAACTGTTCTTCATAGCCAAAAGACAGTGCTCCTTCCCTATAAAGCACCCCATTATACCCGACTGCAGTATGGAGCTTTTGTAGTCTCACTCAGAAGTCCATTCATGCTCTCTTTAATAAAGGCCTCTTTGTAACATGCACATTAGTAGAACTCCCTGAATCTCAGGTTCTCTGGAAGAACTCTAAAAACAAGGGGGACATATAGAATATGTAGTGTGCATTAGTGTAAGTGTGAATTAAAGACTGACCAGTTCAAGAATTCCATTTGTAATAGTGTCAACGAGCTGAAGAAATTTGGGGCCTCTTTTCATCACATTGTTCCTACCACAGTGCCTTCATTGCCTACATTAAAGGGTTTTCCTACTTACTGTATCTCTCACCTTTGGCAAGAAACTTATGCATATGCACAGATCAGAAATTTCCCTAAGCTATTTTGCATCAAATAAAATGTTTATACAAATATAAGCATTTTTGAGCTTTAGAGTTAAGTTTTCTATTCCATCCATAAAACCTTTCAGAGGAAATTAAGCTGGACTTTGAAAACAAAAGCACTTTCCCTATTGTGTCTGATATCTCTAATGATTCTTTGTCATTTTTATTATTTGTTATAAGAAAGAAAAAGAAAGAAAGAAGAAAGGAAAGGAGGAAGGGGACATGAGAGGCAGGGAAGGAAAGACAGAGAAAAATCATGGTGGAAGGAAAGCGAGAGATTATATTAAGCACTAGTGAATGGTATTCACCTTTTATAGTCCCTATGTTTTATAATGAAGATACTTCATTGAAACAATGATGCATACTTCAAGGGTTCCCTGGAGAGCAGTGAATCCTGTTTGGAGAGATTCATGAATATGTGCATTAGCACAATCCAACTGGAACATGCCCTTAAAAAAAAGGAACCACAAGAGAAGCTGATCAGTTTCCACTTATGTATATAATCAGAAGGTTATCATATTATCTCCCTCTCCACAGGAAAAGCAGATGCATATTTTTCTACCACCTAAAATGAGAAATGCCAAAGGAAACAACAATTTTTCCCCTCTGTGATGTTCATTATATGAAACCCACATAGAGATGTAATATTGGTAAAAAGAGCAGAAAAATTTATGCTCGATTTTTCAAAATGATTTGCTTTTTGCACAAAATGAAATATTGGCAAACCCTTTAAGATACTTATTTTACCCTAATTTGATGAACGTGATTAACAAGTCTGCACTGAGTTGAAAGACTGCTGGAGATTGCACATAGGAGACAAATATTTCAGTGCAAAGCTCACCAAAAGGTCTATGAAACTCTGTGCCTTCAAGATAAATGAGATACATATGGTAGATCTTGGAGTAGTAGTTTATTTAAAGTACAAAGAATTCCATAAAAATACTTTTGACCAACAGTTGGTGCCCAGGTTTCAAGAAAAATGGCGGACCTCACTGATCTGTGAAAATGATAAGTTTCTAAGTATATTTGTATATTTATTTTTAAGTTTTTATATCCTTGAATTTCAATAAAAACTGAGAGTATAAAAAAAGAAGAAAAAAGCCAGAAAATCTTGATCATCATGTAGAAACAATACAGAGAAATTGTCATTGCCTAAAAACTCACTGAATATCGCTGAATTACCATCTTCTGTGATATGACAAATAGAACTATTATGAACAAATATGAATAACTGCTACAGGAAATTTGGAGACATCTTTTCCCAGATTTGGGGGAAATGGTGCTAATTTAGAAAAGAACTTGCCTAATTCTTTACGTATTTGTATTCCCATTGTAATTTCTCATCAGTATTAGCAGCATGTTGTGCAAACACAGAGGGTAGAAATAATTGTTTCAAAAAAAAATAAAGAGAGAGAAGAGAGAGAGCATGATTATATTAATGTTAAAAACTACTTAATTCTTGTCTGGTAATTTCTTTTTTTAGTGTATCAGTTAGTCATTACTTAGGCATCTGGTAATGAATTACCAGAAACTGCTTCAATTCGTCATTTCCAGTCACTATGGTCATGGAGAAAGTAACATTTAACTAGTTCATTTTGTTCTCCACCCTCTGGATTCAAATGTTTCCTGGATCTTTGGAGAATCTCCAAATGTGATTGGAGGACTGGTACCATGTTCAGGGCAAGCAGCATTGTTAATTTGGGAATGTGCAATGTTGTAGTGCCATAGTTAAGCTATTTCTAACATTTCACCAGAAGTTGTATTTGTGTTTTGGAAAATTAGTGCTCAGCCAAGCTCTAAGGAAGAAAGCATTTCATTTAGTAATAGTTCAAATAAAGCACCAGAAATGTCTCTGTGGATTTGAACTGGACCTGGTGGCCTGGATCAGTTTTTTGCCCATTTTCTTGGCTTTTTGGGCTTCACATACACAAAAAGAAACTGTACAAAACACTTAGCACTATTTGTTCATAGCTTGTAATGGGGCTTTCACTGCACAAAAGCAAGGAAAAATTATTTGGAGAGGTGAACAGGTTTTTAGAACTGGAAAATTGTCCTCTTTCTCCCCCTTTCCTACATGTTTTAAATCTAAACCCCAGAATCCCTGAAAGAATTGGGCTTCCTCATTTTTAATACTGAATATCATCATCCCACACTGAGCCACAGAAACACATTTCATAAAGAATAAGACTGGTGTTAAAAGAGAGATTACTATTGACTAACAGTTTTCTTTTTGTGCCTTTGCATATAAAATCTATAGACCATCTCCCTCCCTAATAAACTGTCTCAGGAAGCAGAAAATGTGGCTTTCAGCTCTTTTTGCAAACAGGTCCTATCTTAAGAATTTTAGAAGTTGTATCCTGTGTACAAAAGGCAGTTTTGACCAGTAACACAGCCATCTGTTTAGTGAAAACAGAGCTCGCAAGTGAATTGCAGTGTGTGTGTGTGTGTGTGTGTGCGCGCGCGCGCGCGCACGCGTGTGAGCTAGGGTGTTGGGGGAGGACTGAGGTGGTGCTGAGTGAGCAGAGGGTCAAAGGGTAAATTCCAATTGCTGTGACATATTTTTATGCGCTGAATCATACCCAGCTTTTGGCCTTGAAAGCGGGAAGGAGAAGCTCAGAGAAGGAAGTGATGAGAATGGGCAGGTCAGGAAAATCCTCAAGAAGCGCTCTTCCAAATTAGCAGTTAATTGCTCCCCAACCTGCCACACTCTTCCATTTGGGTGTTATTTTATTTTCCCAGGACTTGAAGATCCGCTTTCAATCACATGAATTCCAGTAAAATCTGGGTTGCAATATGTGAAGTGATCTTAGAGAACTTACCTCCCCATTCTATCTTTGGTATTTCTTCTCCCTTGTTGGAGGGGGTGAGGGGTGAAGCATCCTTCAAAGTCAGCAAGCAGGAGGAGACGGTGCGGGAGTTCGCTCCCGGCACGAGGCTGACAAAGCATTGCTGCAGCGGGAAGGACACCGCTAACCAGAGCGGGGAGAAGGGACAGGAGGGGCCCGGGATCCCAGCTTTGTTCGAAGCCTGGAGCACTCCGCCCCGGCCTCTCTCCCCCGCACCCACGCGCTCTATCTAGCAAATGTGGAGGCTGTTTTCTGCCTTTTTGCAAGAGGTGCTGCCAGGAAAAAGGAGAGGGGGAGAAAAAAAGCTGATGCTAAAATCAAGGAAGAAACAGCAGAAGGGTCAGGGGCAACAGTCAAGGCAGTAGCAGCTGCCGCGGCCGGCCCCGCACGGCCATCAGAGTCCCAGCAGCGCGGCCGCAAGCAGAGGCCGCCGCGCTGACAGCCCGAGTGGCAACAGCTGCGGGGAGGCCCGGCTTCGCCCCCGCGCCTGCTCGCGCTCGGGGTCGGAATGGGGAGTCCCTATCGCTCCCATCTTCTGAGCAAGCAAATTCCTCTCATTCCTTCACTCTCCCCTTCGCAGCGTCAGCTGACCGGCAGGGCAGCTTGCTCCCAGCCTTGGGGATTTGCAGAACTGCCCCCTCCCCGCCTAGAAGCTCGCTGGGGACGCCTTGGCTTGCTCCAGTGGGGGTCCCTGCGGCTGGGGGAGAGAGAGAGAGAGAGAGAGAGAGAGAGAGAGAGAGAGTTCCCCGGGCCGGTGAGACTAGGCCTCCCCTCGTCCCCACCACCTCTCTCTCTGGTTGATTCGTCCAGCCCTGAGGCATTTCGTGGGCGAGATGGCCGGTGCCTAAACGGGAATCTTAATTTTCACCAAAGTTGATGGGGACAAACCCAGGCATAACTTGAGAAGGTGACCAGCTCCGAGGCCTTGCAAGAAGATGAACAAATTAGGCAATTTCAGTATTATCAGAGGCAGCATTATGACCCTTTTTGTTGTAAAAGGAACATAAATGTAGCTACAGATTGAATGAAGTTATAGGCCATAAAAGGGCACGGGAGAAAAGGGAAGAGATAATAGGCACTGTCCATTTGAGCCCGTTACACTTACTGTTTCAAATCTATTCAGACAGTGTTAGTGGCAAATACACAGTTTACCAGCAATAATAAATGAGGCAAGGAGTAAGGATAAATATGACTGGACACTCAGTGCATTTAGGGTACAGACAATTGCTGTTTATTTGCTTTTCATTTATGAAAATTACACAGGGCAAGGTTACATGTGAGGCACACATCTCTATATTATTTTTTTCTCATAATTTTGGATGTCAGGGTAAGTGGAAGCATTTAATTTTATTTTTCCTTATTTAGATAAGCAAACAATCAATAAACCCTTTTTGAAAGTACGGATTTGTCTCTGTTAAATTCTCAGGCAAAACTAATTGTACATTTCTTTTGGCATTTGTATTCATCCTGTTTACTTTCACTTAAAACTACTCCATATGACCATTTAACTATGCCCAGAAGTTTATAATATTTCACATACTGTTCTGCCAAACAATTATGTATTTGTACACTTGGGCATTTTACCATTGAAGATTTCAGGCACATTGTTTACTTGCTAGAGAATTAGATAGATTCATTCTGTGTCTTTCATGTCCTCTTTTCAAGTATAAACTACATGAAGGGTAAAACTGGGGATGTCACCAAGTAGGTCCATTCTTTGTTGGGTTGAACAGAGTCAAACTTCAAATTTTTTACTTCTCCAAATACGGCAACAGGTATTCAAGTGCATGGGAAAATGAACATTTGGAGGGGTGAAAGAACTTAGTGCCTTAAAAATCAAGGAAGTAATTATTTGATGTGGTGACAAAAGATACAGAAATTGTAATAGACTATTTTGAAATTTTAAAATGCATTGTATTTTGGTTTTTGGTTCTTTGAAATGGAGTAGAATATTTATAAGTAAGATTACATTTGTTACCTAAAGGAATGTTATCAAGTTATTTCTTTGTATTAGAAAGACATATATATTTAGATGAAGTATTTTGCATAAATTTCAGCAACATGTTGATGCATTTCACACAAATTCGAAAAGAATTTCCTTAAAAAGAATTAAGAAAACTGACCATCAGATTATTTTAATACTATTTGCAAATACTAGATTAAAAGAATTTTAATAAAGTGATAAATGAAAATTTAACTCTCACCAAGAATAACCTTTAAGTAGCTTTCTAAAAAGGAACTAGGATGAATGGAATTCTTGTGCCTCTGATTTCATTATTTTATATTTTTACACTGTGATGTTAGTATTTTGATGTATTTTTTGAGGTTTTTGCTTAATGTATACATGCATTTTTGTTCTTCAATGGCTCTTTTCATTAAATAAAAATCAAAGATTTGTTCATTCACAGGTTGATAACAATTTTTTGTCATATTACCACGGATCTCTTCCAAACAGTGACATTGCATGAAATTCATATTACAGTATTTTTATGAAACAATACAAAAGGAGAAAATGATTTCACATAATAGAAACAGATTTTTATACCATACAGTTTAAAATATGCATCATCTAAAACACAGACTAAAATTGTATTTTATTTCTTGATAATCAAACAAAAGCTCTCTGAAGATTCAGAGATTTCTTGGGCTTTGTCTAAATTCAAAGTGCCCTCTACTGTCAAAAAAGTGTACTGCTCAGAAAGAGAAGACGACGAGTCTGAAATCAAAATCTAGACAGTGAGAGACAGATGGAAGAAAACTGTAAAAGGTAGCAGCATTGCCACTCAGCCCTGGGGCGATTCAGTTTGGAATGTTCCATTGGTAAATAGTTATGCTCCTTTTCCAAGTTAAAAGTTCCACTAGAATTATTTGTAACTTCTCAGCTGTGGGTAAACTTCTTTGTTCTTAGCTTATAAAAACTACTATTTTTACTTTGGCTTCAATGTATGGTTTACTGTAATGCTCTCAACAGGGCTTTTTATGACTGCCAAGCTAACTATAAAACTACAAGTACCCTGGCATTTTGACTCTGGAGGAATATTTTTAAACACTCTTTTCATGTATTTCTGTTAGAATATTTTCATGTTTACTATGGAGTATTGTGTTCTAAAAATATAGGAGATATTTATCACTACCATGACAGAATAAAGCCAAATAATCGATTGGTTCAGTATGAGCAGGGAGTTTGCTAAGAATATCATGCACAAAAGTAACAGCTGTCCATTTTGTTCACTCTTAGGAAGGTGGTTAAGCATTGCAAAGACAGTGTTAAGCATGATCTGAGTATTTAGGTGTAAGCTTGTGACCACCTTTCAGTTAAATCCAGTGAACCCATAGAGACTCTTGCCATAAGAAATCCAGAGCATTCCAAAAGTTGTATTTTATCATTTACTACAAAGCAATGAAACTTGAAGCTTGTAATATGTATGTGTATAGGAGAAATATTTTAGAAAGGTTATTATGTTTTGTTAAGAGAAATAAATAATGTTACAAATATTAAAAAAGACAAGTCTGACTGAATGGATAATTTTTATAACAAAGTCAATAGGTTGAAACCAAATGAGATACTGATAAACTGGAAGTATTAGAAAAGTTATAATTATTCAAGAGTCCAACATACGTAACAAGTCTTATTTAAATGGGTACATGAAATATTTTAAACAAGCAAAACAGAGACTTCAATAATTCGAAGGTTGATTTTATAAAACAAAAGGCTATAGTTTTAATGTCCAATAAGTGTAGAAGTAAGTTTTCAGTTTAATCAAATCCTACTGATTTTAGAGTGGCTGTTGGATGGGGAGGGCAGAAAGCTAAGTACTATTTCCAGCAGAGGAGGCCTCATGCAGCACCCTCTTTCCCTTGCTTTCCTCTCTGTGAGTCTTTAGTCCCTTTGACTTTTAAGATTTATTTATTTATTTGAAAGAGTTACAGAGAGGCAGAGAGACAGAGAGAGTGAGAGCGAGAGCGAGAGCGAGAGCGAGAGAGGTCTTCCATCTGCTGGTTCACCCCTGGATGGCCGCAATGGCCACAGCTGTGACAATACAAAGCCAGAAGCCAGGAGCATCCTCTGGGTCTCCAGTGTTGGGGCCCAAGGACTTAGGTTGTCTTCCACTGCTTTCCCAGGCCATAGCAGAGAGCTGGATCAGAAGTGGAGCAGCTGAGACTTGAACTGGGGCCCATGTGGGATGTCGGCGCTGCAAGTGGCAGCCTTACTTGCCATGCCACAGTGCTGGCCTCCTTTTGGTTGATTTTTAACTTTACCATCCCAGAGATGTCTGTGTTGCCTTCTGAGAGGAAGGCATTCAATATTAATGCTTTTCTAATGGATGATTACATCTAATGGGCATTTATGTGATAATGAACAAACAATGGAACATATGAATGGAAAAGAGAGGAAAAACTCATCTCAGAGCAGTGGCTTTCTGGTGGTGGAATTTAGGAGGGATTTGGAAGAGGTGATGCTTGCTAGGTAAAAATAGTATCATATGCCATCAAATTTAAATGATGGCTCTGCTGGAACAAACACCATGCCAATATTGTCTCCATTAGTTGAAAAATCCAACCCAACCTGTGTATCTAAGTATTTCCTCTGGCTATTTTGAGTATTTTAGGGAAGATCCATTAACACAAGTTTTTATTGAAAATAATTTCTATGGAATCACCAATTCTCATAATCAGTGCTCCATTATTTCCATTCCTTGATAAAGAAAAGCATTTATAATATTAATCCTAAATTCCTTAAAAAATGCCTACAGTAAAATGTCTAATGCTATGTTATATTAAATATCCAACTAAATGCTCTTTGCTTATATTTTCTATGGCTTTTTAGAATCAACTCTTCTAAATCTACCCTAAGATAATCTAATTTCTAATTAATCTACTATAATCTAGTAATAGACCCTTGTTGTTGAATATAAATCCTCCTCATGATGAGTCAGTTTAGGAAAACTTTAAGTCAAGAAGCTTGAAGTCCTCTAGATAGTGATGTGTGGTGATAGGCCTAAGGGATCCTTTGTGCTAGGAATATGAATTTTGAATTAAGGGTTAAAAAAAAAAAATTGACTACCTGAGGAGATTGCTCCTTATTTCCTGTTACTTGGAACCTGCAGGCTGCTTGCTTGTTTAGGTCTGCTTGTTCAACCACCATCTCATAGTTTCTGTGGGACCGCACAACATCCTTCTAATAAATTCCAGTTTAACCTCAGCTAGCTGGTCAGTTTCTTTAGTTTGCAACCAAATAAATCTAAGTGACATATCATATCTTTCTCCGTGAGCATCTGTAGTTTCATAGGTGATGTTTACAGAAACTTCACAATTTTAGTTTATGGTATGGAATCTTGGCTGAGCAAAGTCTTTGGCCAAAGCCATATAGCAGTCTTGTGGTAGAGAATGGACACAGTCCCAGGGCACCTGATAGTCAAAGGTCAGCTGCTAAATTACTCAAAGATAACTTTTTGGTTCACATGACCTAAATAAATCTCTGTATGAGATGTCTTAAATTTGGTGATTGAAAGAAACTAAAAATGTTTAAGTCATTGACATATTTGAACTTGGGTTTGCTGATCAAACAAGTTACACTTGCCTTAGATATTTAAGCAATGTTTCCAAATACATGTACTATTGTTGTATAATTTATAGAAGGCATTGAACCTTTTGATAAATGTTTTCATAAGTTGTTATTTAACAGTTAAACTTTGCTTGCTAAGTTTTCATTTGATATTAAGTTATTGACAGTAAGTGATCTGGAAATGGTGACCTGGTTCCTCATTTCTCTACTCTCTTCAAGATGGGAAATTGATTCTATTCTGAAGGACTCTCCAGGATGTACAGTTTGATCTTTAGACCTTATAAAAGGGATGGCTAACATTTTTCTGTAGTAATAGCATAGCCAAAATGAGAGCTTAAATTATGATTTCACACCTAGATTTACTTTGCCATGGGCACAATAAATAGGCAAAATTTCCCTTTTCAAACCAAACAAAGGGAAAGTTTTACTAATGACTTCAGATTGTATAGATAAGATTGTCATCATGTTTTACGTTAAAGTGAGGACATAGCTTTCCTCACGGGCTTTGTCTACCTCACAGAAAAACCACTCTCAGAACATGTCTGTGACTATAGATTCCTAGCATAGACCACCAA